TGCTTTCCATGAAAGCATTTAAAAGGTGGCCTGCTTTAGTGTGTAATTTTTGAAATGTAAACTCTCTTTTAGAACTTTCCATGTTAAGTACTTACTAATTTGTTCCCAGATTACACACACACTGTGGGAAATTTGTTCTATCAAGACCACAGCAATCATGGGATAAAACATTTACTACATGATGCCTTTTCTCATTTAAAAGTATCAAATGTAAAATAAGCTATCCACAAGGTTAAGTTTCCAGTTAATCATATATTTAAATTTCTAAGGATCTGTGCCAAAAAGTGTAACTATTTTTCCCTGAGTTGTTACTAAGTACCAGTGAGTCCAGTGTCCCAGCAGGGTAGAACTGCCCCTGTGGGTTTCCAAGACTATAACTCCTTTACGGGAGTAGAAAGCCTGTGGAACTGGACTATGGATCCCGCGGTTACAGAGATGTATCCACTATGACTCCAGAACGCCTTTCAGTGAGGAACTAGATACCAGAAATGCAAAGATGAAGGAGTCCCAGACTCTGCCTTCAAGAAGATCTCAGTAGAAAATGACCCCTAGTGGATTCTGAATTAATGGTGTATTTTCCAATAAGAAGGAAGGGATGGGTTTGAGAGGAAAGAGGAGCCTCATCCTTTCACATCTCGGGGTAATCTATAATATCTGACTGTAAAACAAACAACAACCCCAAACCTCAAATCCATTCTGACTCATGGTGACCCCATGAGTAGATACACTCCATAGGGTATTTTTTTGGTCACGAGCTACTCACAGCTCACATAGCCCTCAGAGACAGGGAGAGATGGAGACTCGGGCTTCCGGGGGCTCCAGCAAAAGCGCTTGGAGAATTCTCAGTGGTTTGTACAGAGTCATGGGAATCCTCGAAGGAAGTAACTCTGATCCGAAAGCCCACCTCTGTGTAGAGCAGAGTATTTTTCATAGAAACTAATCTCCAGGTTTTTCTTCCTCAGCACTCCTGGGTGGGTTAGAACCATCAACCTTTCAGTTAGTAGTCAAGCAAAAACCATTTGGACCACCCAAGGACACAGGTTTTTCTATTCTTTGACATCAACCTGGCAATGATGTCTTATCTTATGATTATTTTTCAGAACCATACTCATGGTTTAGCTTCACATACCTTCACTTGGGGAAATAGTCATACTGTGCTTTACGGTAGTTGACAGAGTAGTCCGTTTACCCTTTTACCACCAGACCATGCTCACGCTGAGCATTCATTTACTGCAGAAAGGATAGCATAGCTGAAACCGTTGCCTTTTGTGCTGACCAGATCAATGGCAATCTCCATCTCAGCGGTTTTCAACCTTCCTGATGCCGCGGCCCTTTGAAACAGCTCCTCATGCGGTGGTGACCACCCCCAACCATAACATTATTTTCGTTGTTACTTCATAACTGTCATTTTGCTACTGTTATGAATCGGGTGACCCCTGTGAAAGGGTCATTTGACCACAAAAGGGGTCGTGACCCCTGGGTTGAGAACCACAGGTTGAGGAAACAAATAAATGACCACCACATATCACTGTGATCAGCGAGGAACCACAACCCAGAACATCTAAAACGATTTAAATTTAAGCTGCTGTTTTATTCTCTGTCATCAAGTCAATTCCAAATTCATTTAGACTCTCAAGGGATTTAAATTTTTATGAGAGAAAACCTTATCTCTCTCCCTCGGAATGCTGGTGTTTGAGCCACCAAACTTGCCGTTAGCAACCCAATTGTTTACCTGGAAGCCCCACCAGGGCTCCCATTCTTAGTCATCTAGTGCTGCTAGAACAGAAATACCACCTGGGAGTGGCTTTCAAGAGCAGTAATTAATTTTCTCACAATTTAGTGAGCTAGATGTCTGAATTCAAGATATGGGCCCTAGGGGAAGGCTTCCTCCCTGTGTCAGCTCCAGAGGAAGGTCCTTGTTGCTTCTGAACTTGTGCTCCTGGGTGAGCGTCCCAAGGCTTAGTCTGTGTCTCCCCACCTCAGCGAGCTTGTGCTCACTCCCTTTTATAGCTGAAAGACATAATTGAGTTGCTAACCCCAAGGTCAGTCATTTGAACCCAGCAATCACTGCAAGGGAGAAAATGAGGCTATCTGTTCTCTAAGAGATTAACTCTCAGAAACCCATGGGAACAGTTCCAGTCTGTTCTGTAGGGTCACTATGAGTTAGATGAGTTAGAATCAACTCGGTGGCAGTGAATTATTTTTCTTTTTTTAAATTATTTTATTTGGGGCTCACACAATTCTTATCACAATTCATACATCCATCCATTGTGTCAAGCACATATGTACATTTGTTGCCCTCATCATTCTCAAAACATTTGTCTTCCACATTAGCCCTTATTTTCAATGACACCACAATAGCTTATTGAGACACAGTTTGAGATATTAAGGTTCTTATTTGTTACTCTTCTAATACTTCTTTTAAATTGCACATGCTGTTAGCCAAGTATCTTGTGCCCCTATGGGCATTTACCTTGAGATACATTCCTAAGTGTTCAAGGGGTGGACCACAAGATACTGCTGCTGCTTCTCAGGTTTGTGGTACCAACTGGTGGCGTGCTCTCCATCAAGGTTGGACCCATTCACACACACCAGTGACCCGCTGAAGGGTTTTCCCAAGTCCATTCCAACACTGCACAGTGTCATTTTCCAAAATCTTTGCCAAGTTGATAGGTTGAAATCTCATCTACTATTGCTTCGATTTGCAGCGAGGATCATTTGTCACCTATGTCATTTAGGAGCACTATGCTCAGTAGCAGATTTGCAGAGGAAGCACCGGAGCACATTTGTACTTCAGATTAACCTTGGCGTGTCCTGCGTGGATGTCTTCCTTTGTATTCCTCGTGAGCCTGTTCTTCCATTTGCCGTTGTGTGCTCTGAGTCGTCAAGCTCCCCAGGGAGCAACGCACATGTGGGGCAAACAGAGGGAGCCATGCCTGCAAAGTGAGTGTATGATAGATACTCACTAGTTCCATCTTTCCTTTTTCCATCTGGATCTGGGTTCGTTATGGTTGGCTCACAGAACTGAAAGTGGCAGGTGCAGAGCTGTAGCTGCTGAGGTTTCTGAGGTCCCCGGGGCTCTGACGATGTCATCAGGACATGCTTATCTTTTCTCATCTCTTAGGTTTTGTTTTCTTCTGTGTTGCCTTCATTCTTAGAAGGGCTGTCTGACAGGAAGATGGTCACGAGCTACTCACAGCTCACATAGCCCTCAGAGACAGGGAGAGATGGAGACTCGGGCTTCCGGGGGCTCCAGCAAAAGCGCTTGGAGAATTCTCAGTGGTTTGTACAGAATCATGGGAATCCTCGAAGAAGTAACTCTGATCCGAAAGCCCACCTCTGTGTACAGCAGTGGTCCTCAACCTTCTTAATGCTGCGGCCCTTTACTACAGTTCCTCCTGTTGTGGTGACCCCCAACCATAACATTATTATCATTGCTACTTCATCACTGTAACTGTTATTAATCAGAATACAAATATCTGATATACAGGATGTATTTTCATTGTTACAAATTGAACATAATTAAAGTGATTAATCACAAAACAATATGTAATTATATATTGTGGAATATTTATTATTGTGAAATATACATTTTCTGATGGTCTTAACGACCCTTGTGAAAGGGTCGTTCAACCCCCCAAAAGGGTTCAAACCCACATGTGGAGAACCACTGGTGTAGAGCCTGGTGATTGGAACCCCCAGGGGGAAACAGAGCAGGGCAAAAATGGGGCAGGGAGTAAGGAGGGGTGTTTGTGCAGAAAGGGAGAGATCCTAATCAAATGAAATGTATTCACCATAACATGATTACAGAGAAAGGTGAGAGAGAGGAAGTAGGAGAGAGAGAGAGATCATCTTGAGATAGAATCCTCCAATCGTGCACTTTTTAAAATGGGTCGTGGAATACATGCTAGCGTAATTACGCCTACGTTGACTGGAGTAATTAATGACCTTAGTAACAGTGGTTTGGTGGGATTATAGGGACAAACATCTGCCCGACTGATACAAGAGTAAATGGGAGGAGACAAAATTGAATGTTAAGGCAAAGAGAAAGACGTAGCAGTAGGTATCCTGCTGAAAGACAGAATGTGAGATTGGAGGCATTCGGATTTTGTTGTGAGGAAATCTCATATTAATATTCCCCCCAAAGTGAAAGACATAGTAAAGTATACAAAAGAGAGGAATAATATTTCATAGCAAGATGCTTTTTGAAAAATAAAGTGGTAGGGATGAAATAAAGAAGCATGTGATATGCAATTGGCCTGATTTTCCAGATACATTGTCAGTAGTCAAATGAACTAGGATTTATGATGGCACTGTGGGTTAGGTGTTCGGCTGCGAACCGGAAGATCAATGGTTCAAATCAACCAACATCCCCGCAGGAGAAAGATGAGGCTGTTTGCTCCCATAAAGATTTAGTTTTAGGAACTCTGGACCAGGTCACTAGGAGTCAAAATTGACTCTGAAGCAAGGTTTGATTTGCGCGCGCGCGCGTGCGTGTGTGTGTGTGTGTGTGTGTGTGTGTGTGTGTGTGTGCAATGTTGTACCATTTATACCTTATGTATAATGTATCATGTTGTCTGCTCCTGCACTATCCTCGTGATCATGGGCATAAGTAAGTCCATGTTATTGTATATTTTGAGTGTCTTCCAAACTAGGGCACTCAGCTCCCAGGACCAGAGCAGAAAGCCTTCTACAGTGATCTGTGTTTGCAGGGACTAATTTTCGGAAGCAGATCTTCAGACACTTTTTCCTACTCTGTCTTAGTCTGGAAGCGCTCTCCACCGTGGATGACTCTACTGGTATTTGAAATACCGCTAGCATGGCTTTCAGCATCACAGCAACATACAAGTCACCGCAGTACAACCTTGAGCACCAATGGCTGCTAAACACACACACTGCCAGTCTAATGACTAAAGAATGTGAAAAGACATTTATGGGACTGTGTGTATGTGTGTGTGTGTGTGTGTTTTGAAAAACCTAAGTGGTACATTTTGTTGCAGATCCACCAGATGTTCCTGCCAATGTGACCTGTGTCATTTATGAGTATTCAGGCTGCATGACTTGTACATGGAATATCGGGAAGCTCACCTACATCGACACAAAATATATGGTGCATGTGAAGAGGTAAGATGCCTTTTAGCAATTTAACAGACGCAATCAGTTGTGCTTCAGTTCAATCTAGATCCAAGAAATCATAGTAAAGCTATAATCAGTGAAGCTACCGATGCCCGATGGAGCCTCTAGTGTTTTCATCCTGTAGTGTAATACATTCTAGTACATTGTTTCTGCTCCTCTTATCATTGAGGGAAGGAGCCCTGGTGATATAGTCAGTGACAAGCTGGGTTGCTAACCTCAAGGTCAGCAGCTTAATCCACTAGCCACTCTGTGGGAGAAAGGTGTTACTTTCTGTTCCCATAAAGACTTACAGCCTCAGAAACCTAATAGGGCACTTCGATCCTGTTGTACAGATCTCTATATGCCAGGATGGACTCAATGGCAGTGAGTTCATCATTGACAGAGTCCCTGAATAGCATGAAGGGTTACACACTTGACTACTAACCAAAAGGTTGTAGGTTCAAAAGAGCCCAAGGACACCTTAGAAGAAAGGTGTGGTAATGTGCTGTTGGAAATCCATCTGAAAACCCTATTAAGTATAGTTCTACACCAACACACATGGGGCTACCATGAGCTAGAATCAGTCTTGGCTTTTGGGTTGATTACTGGTAGGTAACTGGTAGGCAGGGGCTTAAAAGTACTTAAACTTGAATCCCAGCTCTATCCTCCTTCTAGTGTTTAGGCAATTTACTCAATCTCTACAAATTATATTTGAAACATATAATCCTTTTGTATTTAAAGAGGAAATGAAAACAGACACAAATGCACAGGTTTGTTCTAACTATTTCAGTGGAACTTGCCTTTTAAACAGTGTGTCACAGTGCCAAATCCATAATTTGTGCTCAACAATGAAAGCTATTCGTTGTTAATGATGATCCTAACTCTCATAGTTGGTGGCTATGTAGGCCCGTCAACTATCTTGGCCTGTGGGATTTTTAGTTCTAAAATCAGGAAAGTCTTGGGCAAACCAGGACCAAAAGCTGGTCACCCTATTAGGTTCATGTTTCTTATTTTATTTAATTAATTAAATTAAAAACAAAAAATTTTTGTGATCTCTTTGACATATACCCCCTGGCCACTCAGTACCCCTTCTCCCCCCATGGTTAATCCTAAAATTTTCAGAAGCTACTTTAAAAGTTCACTTACTGGGTTCTGTTTGCTGTGCATATGTGTCATGTCATGGAACCCCTGGTACCATTCTGTGAGATACATACATCCGGCATGAACCAGTTTAGACTGGTTAGATTTATTATTATTATTTTAGTTCAAGGATTGCTTGTTGGCCTTTAGGAGTGTTTTCCAGTCCAGTCTGTTGGGGCACCATGCCCTGGCCCCAAAATCCACTTTCAGCATTCCCTGGGACCTCGCCGCTCCGTTCCCTTGCTGTTCTGTTGCACCCCCTTAGTGTTTTGACTTGGTGTGGCAGGATCAGATAGGGTGTAATTCCCACACTGTGTCTCCAGTGTTGTCCCCTGTAGGGCTATAGGTCAGTGAGGGGCATCATGTCTTATAGTGGGGCCGGCCATGTGGTCCTCTCTGTGGACGGGCTGCTCTAATTGGGAACATCATCCTTACGGCCTGGTGGGCCAGAATGTGCTCCACTCTCTCCTCCTCCTCCTTCATCTGCTCCCGTGTACTCCAATCAGATATGTCCCTCTCCTAGAGCTGCAGATTCAATGGCGTCGTTTGAAATAAATTCTTCTGGGGGGAGGGGCAGGTATCCACTTAGTAGTTGGGGTTGGAGCCGGCCCCCCAGACCTCTCCACTGGTTCCCTACTCCATGCTGGCATGTTGCATTCACATCTTGGAGTAGATTTATTCTTACATCATGGTTAATTTGGGAGAGAAGGAGATTAAAGAAAGCCGCAAAAGATCATTTATTGGATAATGTAAAGAAGTAAGTTTATTGACATTATTTTCAAGTGGAGTAATTTTGGACTAATGGCTATCTAGTCGATATGTAATTATTGTGCAATTATAAAGAGATGTTGAGTGTGCCTTATTAAATAAGTTTCATTTGCCAGCTGTTTTATGTGTATATACCAAGAGTTAATGCACTCATTCTTCTGGTAGCAGAATGCAAGCTGCATAAAGACAAAGATGTTTTGTTTTATTCACTGCTCTAGTCTTTAAGTCTAGCGTGGGGCCTAAAGGAACCCGGGGTGATGTAGCGGGTTACACATTGGGCAAGGTCAACCGTTCAAAACTACAAGCCATTCCATGGGAGAAGATGAAACTTTCTACTCCTAAAAAGTTACTGTCTTAGAAACTTACAGAGGCAGTTCGACCCTGTCCGTTAGGCAAAATCAACTCAGTGCAGTGAGTATTTTGGAGAATGGGGCCTGGAACGTAGTGCTCCTGTAGCCACTGCTGAGCCAGTTCTAATTCATGGTCACCGTATGTAGGGTTTCTGAGGCTGTAGGTCTTTATTGAAGCAGGTAGTCTCAACTTCCACCCTCAACTTCCACCCTCAGCTGCTGGTAGGCTTGAATCACCAGGTTTGCAGTTAGCAGTTCAACCCTTACTGGATAGTGCCATCAGGGCTCCTGGCACATAGTACCAAAACAAACAGACAACCGCACCCTCTCCCCACCCCCAAAGCAAGCTCACTTCCATCGAGTGGCTTCTGACTCACAGCAACCGCATAGAACAGGGTAAAAGTGTCCCTGTGGGGCTCTGACATTGTAACTCTTCACGGGAGGAGAAAGCCTCATCTTGCTCCTGAGGCGGAGCTGGTGGTTTTGAACTGCTGATCTAGTGGTTAGTAGCCCAACCTGTAATTATTAGGTACACAGTAAGTCCTCTATAAATACATGCTGAAGGAGTATTCTGATGACTAGAAATAGATATTTCACACACACACACACACACACAGGCAATTCACAACAGGACCGACTGCTGTCAAGTTGATTTCATCTCATGGCAATATTCATGTATGTCAGGGTAGGACTGTGCTCCACAGAAATCTTAATGACTGATTTAAAAAAAATACATATATCACTAGAACTTTCTTTCAAGGCACCTTTGGGGAAATGAAAGCCTTCAGTCTTCCAGTTAGCCGGCCAAGTACATTAACCATCTACACCTTCCTGTAATGTAACAATAAACTACTGTCAATTTAAAAAAACTACCCAGTTCTGAATTGATTGAGTGCTGGTTAAGTGGATTTTGTGTATTTTTCAGGAGACACAAAAGGTGTGTAGATAGCATAAAAACAGATGTTTTTATGTTTCCCTTCTGGCAAATGCAAAGTATGAACTTCTATAGAGACCGGCCAGTTGGAAAGGAAAAGCCAACATGAACTCAGCTTACCAGGAGCTGAAGGCACTCCCATGAGCTGGAGAAAATCAAGATGAAAAGTCCGTTTCATGAACTACAAGACAGACCTCTTTCCCTTTCATGACAGCGTTGATCGAGTTACAATAATGAGTTTTGCGGTTCAGGTGGCAAGAAATTCTTGGTTGTTACTGTACTTTAGATCCTTGGTTATTAATTACTGTATTTTCCACGTTAACTGAGAGGTAGAGAGCAGAATCTGAAGGTTTCGCTTCCAACTCGTATGATTCTATTTTCCAGTAAAATCACAGACAGGTGATTTACCGCTGTCCGCCCACGGGTTTCACCAGAGGCAGTGAGATGTCATTCCTTCATGGCAGTGGCCCTCAGGAGCTTCCTTTTGGTTTGACATTAAAGATGCAAAGTAGAGGAGTTGTGTCTATGTTGACTCAAAACCCCTTCTTCCTCTCCAGCACCTTGGTGGGAACTCCATTAGGAGGAATTCATGGCAATTCACATACCTTCTCTACTCTTTGATATTTCACTGTGCACATAGCTTGTGAGAGAAAATAAAATGAACCTCTGATAATAAGCATTTACCAACTGGGATCCACCTCTCCCCAACAGCTGTATGTACATAGACCCATTCTTTATCTTGGAAATACTAGTAGGGTCTACCAGTGCCTTCTATTCAATAATTACAAGGATAAGTTAAAAAAAAAAAAAGAGCATTGCTACTAACATGCCAGTTCACACACTCACAGGTTTATTCCAGACAAAGCATCTATAAACATGTTTTCATGGTTGATGTGTAGCTGCCGACAAGTTCTCCCAGTCATGCGCTGGTCTTTGAGGTCCTTAGTTGACCTCAAAAACAGTCCGTCAAAAACAACCGGGGATCTCCTGGGCCGGTTTCAGGCAGAGGGAAGAGCCCTGCAGCAACTGTTACGCAGGATTTCCAAAGGGTACTCTTGGGAGATTTTCTGGATGGTTATAGGACTATCATCAAGACTTATTCCTACGAAGGTTCAAGGAAATGGAAAACTGCATTGTTGAGGAAAAAGGCCAGAGAAGCTGCACCAAAGGATTTTTTCCCCATCATGACTATGTGCCTGCTCAATTCTCCGAGAGTCCAAGGGCTGTCCTAGAGAATGTCATTAGGCCACCTTAGCTCACAGCCTACAACCCTGGCCTGTACCTTCACACTCCTTTTACTCAACGAACATCTCAAAACAGCCATTTGGACCTGGCATAGATCAAAGAGTACAGAATTCTGTGACGAAGGGTTAGAGATATGGAACTAGATGGAATATTTGTTTAAAAAAACAATGGCTTCCTATTGATGTTTTCATTTCATAAAAGTTTCTGTTATTATGTAGCAAGATGTGTGACTTACCCACCTACTGGTGTTAGGTGCCAGCAAGTCGGTCCCAACTCACAGCAACCCTCTGCACAACAGAAGGAAATACTGCCCCGTCCCGAAGCATCCTCGCACCTGTTCTATGCCTGAGCCTATCGTTGCAGCCGCTGGATCAATCCATCTCCTCCTGGGCCTTCCTGTTTTTCTCTGCTCCTCCACTTTACCAAGCATGACGTCTTTCTCCAGGAACTGGTCTCTCTTGACAACATGTCCAAAGTCAGTGAGGCACACTTGCCTCTCAGGAGCATGCTGGTTGTACTTTTTTTCCAAACAGATATATTTGTTCTTTTGGCAGTCCATGGTATTTTCAATA